AAATTCCAGAACAGGATTGGAAATGTCCCTTCTCCCTACATGGAACTAACAGCTGAGCGTCTAGTAAGCTCTTCTGTAAAGTGTGACTTAAGTAAGTGGGGATCTACTTAGGGACACTGAGATCCACGCGCTGTACGGAGTGGCATGGGTCTGCAGAGCTTGGGACATTCGAACGGATGGAAGTAGCCACTGATTCTGTGCCACAAGGAGGCTCATCAGATGTTTTCTTAGGTGCTTCTGAAACCAAGACTGTTCACTGTCTCTCAGTTTATTATTTAAGTAATGACTGAAGTGACCACGTTAGTTTATTGGTCATGACTATTCCGTATTTCTCTATTTCTTCGAATTACAAAAATAAAATCGGCATAAAATTTTCTTTTTCTTGGTGGGTCCCTACATTTTGATGCTGACTGATAAAAGAAATGAACAGGGTCTAAGCACTGTTCACAATCAAATTTTCCCCCACAATAGTTTTAAAGTCCCAGTGGCAGCATCCCGCAGCGTTCGTCCAAACAGTCACACCCAGGTGCGTGTGGGTGGCTGGTGCGTGTTCCCCAGTTGGTAAAGCACTTTGAGGCTTCGTCTTCGCAAAATGACCAGTTGCGCTTCTCTCCGTGAGTGGTTCTCCAGGACTCGAAGTGTTAATACGGCTGGACACCTGTTTTCAGTTTCCTCTAGTTTCCCCAGAACCTTCACTGCCTTGACCTGAATACATTGACGGGAACACGGAAGGCCGAGATACTCATTGTGGGCGAGGTTTTCCCGAGTGAGATGCCCAAACTCTGACGACCACTGGTGAGTGATGCGCGCCTACATTTTCCCATAACACGTGGCGCTTGGGTTCCTTTCTATCTTCTTGAAATTACAACCCTGAGATTGCTTCATCAGTCGTCGTAACCTGCAGCAGCAGGGAAGGCTTCTCCACCGGGCACAGTGCAGTCGCCCCTGGGGATGGCCTGGCTACAGGGGCGGCCGCCGCCCCGGTGTCCGCGCTTCCTCGCGGGCCTGATAGCATCTCCAGGCCGGGCGCCAAGAGTCTGCCCTGCAGGCTGGTGCTGAGTCACGGCCCATCGGCCCTGCTCGCCACACAGCGGAAACGCCAGTCAGCCCAGCCCTTCCCGCAGCTGCCTCGGGGGAGGGAATGTAGGTCGCAACAGGTGGGGCTGCCGAGGCCACGCGCACAGGGACCCCTTCGCCGGCTGCAGACAGCGCGTGGTCTCTTCAGAACAAGTCTTCTCCCCACTGTTTTCATGAAAATTTGCCAGTGGGATAAAACTCTGTGAACTGAGTCACAGGCGAGGAGCACGTATGAAGCCTGTGCAGGTCTCAGGCCACGTAATCTTAAAGCTCAACTGGCGATTAACTGTTGGCCGATCCGTGGGGTGAGGGACGTGAGCTCAGAGGGGCCTAGACGCTGGCCAGGATGGAGCTGGGGCCAGGCCACAGGCCACAGGCCACAGGCCACCACTGCCCCAAGCCAGGGGCGGCCACACTCTGGAGCACCAGTGCCACCTGCAGGAGCGTTCGGGCAGCCAGGCTCCGGCGTGGGTGGGGCCGGGTGTCACACGTGGCCTCCCTTGGCCAGCCCCCACCTGCTAGCTGCAGCTGGTTTTCAGCTCCAGGCAGACTCCAGCCACGAAAGGAAGCTCACCCTAGCTGCTGCCTCGTAGAAGCCCAAAGACGGGCCACCTCGTCAGGTGAAAGTCCTGGCAGCAGGGCCTGCGTGGCCTGGTCTCCGCCATCAGGCGAATGACGGGGAAGGAGAAAGAGAGGCGGAGGGGGAGGCTGCATGGGGAGCTTGGAAAAGCGGCCGGTGGCGGGAGAGGCCCTGGCTTGGGGCATCTGCCAATCTCGGGGGTGTGAATGCTCCCACACAGCCACCCGCAAACTGCGGATCATCCGACCTCCTGCTCACCTCCCCCCACCCCGTGTGACCGCTGCCCACGAGCCGGCCCTGGCGCTCCGGGTGTGGGCCAGTGGGGGGTGCGGCAGTGTTCTGGCATCATCTGCACCGTCTGCGGTGTGGCACCGGCTGGCCTTATACCCTGGCCTCCAGAGGCGGCTCTGTGTCCCCACGTCCCCGCTTCTCGTTTCCAAAGAGGGGCTCTGAAGTGGGGCTGGGCCTCACAGAGCCACGGCTTGCCGGGGGCAGGGGGAGCACCTGGTGGAGAGACGGAGGCCGTCCCGATGACTGCCCTTGGCGCTGGCCTGCCACAGGCAGGGGCGGCAGGATGGGAGCCACCCGGTTTGCAAGCAGCAGGGTGGGAGTGAAACCCAGGACCGGCCCGGAGGAGGCTGGGCTCTGAGCCTGACACCAGGGGATGACACCCGAGGGTAGACCAGAGTGCGGCGCTGACACACGAGTTCACTGGCAGAGCTGCTGCCCGCTAGCCAGCCTTCATCCACAAGTCCAGCGGCGGGGAAAGCCGGCTCCTCGGGGCCCCGCGTGACCAGGCCCACAGCCCGACCGGCTGGTCCGAGGGCAGAGGCTGTACTCTCACCTGGAGTCGCCTTTGTGCAGCAGGGTCACCTCGGAAGCCACGTGGCATGGGCCCCGAGCACTCGGACACACTTGCCCCGTGGGAAGGCGCGAGGACACAGCCCAAGAGCCAGTGAGTGGCCCGGGGATGGCTGCTGCGGGGCTGATACACTCCTCGGGGAACGTCCCGTGGGCCCCCTCTGGGCCATCTCCCTGGCACGCACAACCTTGGCCCCCGGGTGGCCAAGCTCAGGACGGCTCATGCAGGGACCAGCCTGCTTTGATGCCGACTCACTTTCACTTCAGAGGAATCCGTGTGCACAAAAATGCGATGCCCACACACTCTTCTCTCCCAACTGGAAGAGAAAGGCAGACTCGTCTCCTCCCAGAGGCAGCGTGGGGCGTTACCTCCCAGATGACTCAACCAGAGAGGACAGAATCACAGCGAGCTTACGGTATTAGCGTACGCCCTCCAAGAACAGAGAGTGGGTGGGTTTCAAGTCAGAAGACTAGGTTGGATACACCAACTTGGAGCGCCCGGGCCAGCTCTTTAGCCTAGGTCTGCCTTCCCGTCTGTGAAAGATGACATTCGTGTTAAATCTCACGGTAACACCTCGTGCCAGGTGCCACGACATCTATCATGGGATTCACCCTTAATCCTCAAAGTCATCCTTCAAGGGGAAACTTGTGGTGTGGACGCCCGTGGGGATCCAGAGATCAGCAATCACATGCAAAGCCCTCACGTGTGCATGGCCACCGATCTGGGTTCTCAACCAGGGGCATGGGGAGAAGCGCAGCCCTGGGGAAAGTGGGGCAGATAGGAACCGCCTTTTAGAGGACCCATTCCTGGCGATTGTGATTCTGGCTCCCAGGCTGGTGGAGGGGACAGCAGTTGAGCCGGAAAGACCAAGGTTCACCGTATTGAGGGGGAATACACCGTATGCCCAAAGCAGAAGTTAGCTGCATGACGGGCGAACACAAACTGAATTGCCCAGGTATTGCCAAAGACAGATGAAAGCCTGGCCACACAGAGACACACACAAATACCAGAAACAGTTTTATTTGTGATAACCCCAAACTGCAAGCAACCCAAAAGTCCACCAATAAGAGAACAGATTAAATGGAAACCAAAGCACGGTGACTCTCGAAATACTACACCGAGTGAAAGCCAGCATCGAAGCGGGCCGTCCATATACAACTCTTCCAAGCTAACTTACATGGACAGAAAGCAGGCATCGCCCTGGGGACCACTTGAGGGACATCAGGGCACGGGAGCCAGCATGGAGCATGACCGTGGTGCCGGCCTCACAGGGGACACATCTGTCCAAACTCATCAGGCTGGGATTTCCTAACAACTGTCATTCACTGTACAATTAATTAAGAACGGAATGACACGCCCAGCTCCAGAACACTTGGAGTCTCCAGGCATTCTCATGGCCACCAGCCCACCCCCACAGGCAAGGCCTCTGAGCTGCTCTTCCAGGAGTGGGGACAGTGCTGACCCCTCAACGCTGCCCTCCCCGGGGCACCAGATGGGGTTTCCAGAGAGAGGCCATCAGTGATGCACAGCAGAGCACAGCTGTCACACAGAGACAGAGATCGTGACAGCCATCACCCAGTCCATCCCACGCCCAAAGGCTCAAGTCCATGGAGTGATTCGCTCCACCAGGTGCATCCAGGTTTTGGCCTGTTGTGTAGGCTGTCACACGCGATTCCCTGCAAGCTAGCTTTCCTGACCACAGATCAGCAGTCAGTCACAGAAAACGCAGTCCTAACCAGCCAGACGAGCCAACCTTTGAGGACGACAACAATGGCACCTGCCGGCCTCTAGACAGACACGTCCCAAACTTATTTCACACCTAATAGGCCTCGGTACACATTTATACGGAAGCCTGTCTGTGACTTAAATCCAGCCATACACTAATGCCACACTTTTATCTTCACGCTTAGTGCCTTAGTGACTTTTTCATGAACGCACTAGTGTAAAGGTCTGGGAAGCGGCTGACACCGGTATGCCCACAGCCCTTCACAACCTCCGGATCGCAAGGCCTGAGCGAGCTAACTCACTGGGAACCTGTGATTTTCAAAAGCACTTTTGGCCAACTCAGCACTTCTAAACAGACCGTCGCTTGTCTTCTAGCCAACAAGCATAGATATTCTGTGCATTTTATCTCCAGTACTCTCCATGTATTACTGTCAAGATTTTATGTCACGCATCTTATGAAACCCCTACTGTCTAAACACATACATTTATCACGATTTGCAAAATAAACAGAACGATAATAGAACACGCCCTGTAAGTGAAGAAGTGGTCAGAAGTTTGAGCTCAATTTTTAAAGTGGAAGTTTAGAGTCTTGGAAGCTCTTTATCTGTTCTGCGTTTGTGCAAAAATATTGTAGACTTGGCTTCACTGCATTCTGACAATTGCAAAAGATGTGCAACTATGATCAGCTGTTATGAGTGGAAGTCTTCCAAAAGATGTTATTTGTTCCACATAATAACTTTCTGGAGAAGTCAAGCACACTTGATCAGTTTTTATTTCAAAATTTTAATTCTACAAAGTTTTAATTCTCCATTATACAAACAATTTTTCAAAATTCAGACATTATTCAAATGTAAGCCAAAGTCCTTATACAAATAATACACACAAAGATCAAAAATATACATATCTTTCAGCAAACTCTGTTACATAAATAGGAAAAGTATATACAGCTAGTATTTTTAAAGTATAAGAATCTTAACTAACAAAACACCACAACCACAGACAGAGGAGCTAAAGCAAAAAGTCACTCGACAGCAACGGTTAGAGGAGCAACTTCATTTCGTGGCACCCTCAACCATGGAGACGCGTATCCAGCCTTGGGGCACAGACCCCCCCGCCAGCATCTCCGTTCTCACTGCGCTCAGTTGATTGGCTCAGAATCCTCCTCCCTGCTGGGGCGGAATCCTATCCAGGACACCTAGCACTGAAGTGGCAATGTGAAGAGTCTATCATCCGTGTCTCTGTACTTTGGGACAGATGCAGAGAGAATTCTTTAAAAGTTAAGTCTGTACACGCCTGTGTTAAAAATACACAAATGAGCTGAATTGACTATGAAAATCAAAGGTCAGAAAAAAATTCCAGCACTCCAAAAAATGTGAACACGGTAAGCCACAGAGAAGTTGTGCCGACGGTTCCCTGCTGAACGCAGCGCAGCTGAGTCTACGCCTGACCCCAGAAAGCCTCCTTCCTCTTCTTCGCTCGCGCCAGAGTCTGAAAAGCCCGGAGACTGGAAGCTGCGGAGCGGGCGGAGATCTCGGACAGCCTGTCCTCGTCTGCAAGAGAGCCCCAGGGTTACCTCCACTAAACATGTCACACGACAGAAGAGCAGACATAAGCAGCGAGCTGTGTGTGCCAATGTGAGGCCCCGCAGGACAATGCAGCTACTTCGAAGGCAAATAAGTTCGTGAACTCGCCCTAGAAAAATTGCTCCAGCCGGGACAGTGGCTAACACCTGTCATCCCAGCACTTTGGGAGGCGGAGGAGAGAGGATTGCCTGAGCTCAGGGGTTCGAGACCAGTGGGGACAGCTTGGTGAGAGCTTGTCTCTACAATAAACCAAAAACAACAGCCAGGCGTGTGGCGCACATTTGTGCTTCCAGCTCCTTGGAAGGCTGAGGTGGAAGGATCACCTGAGTCCAGCAGCTTGAGGCTGCAGTGCCCATGAGTGTGCCACTGCACTCCAGTCTGGGTGACAGAGTGAGACTCCAACTCAAAAAAAAAAAAAGGAAAAAGTGCTCCACACCTCACTGCTGAATCTCACTATGATCACCTTGGAGTCCTCCACTTGGGAAGCTACGCACCGATGCCAGCACCCAGTCCACCCATCAAAGCAGTTCTGGAACTCTCCTTCTGGAATGGCTATCAGGGCTGTCGGTGCAAGAATGTCCGAGTTTGAATCAGAGCAACGAACAAACAGGAAATGTCTTGTTAAACTTGGCAAGAGTGGAAGCGAAATCAAGGACATGTTACTTCAAGTTCACGGGGCTAAGGCCATGAAGAAAGCAGCAATGTACAAGTGGGTTAAATCTTTTTCTGAGGGGACAGAAAGCCTCGCTGATGAAGAGCGGTCAGGACGGCCAGTAACGAGCCGAACTGACAAACATGGCAAAAGCTTGTCGAATCGTGCATCAAAATCGTAGGCTGGCTGTGAGAAGCATAGCAGACCAAATAAACTTCGATAGAAAAACAGCTAGGAAAATCTTAACTGAAAATCTTGGCACGAGAAAGGCGTGTGCAAAACTGGTCCCGAAGGAGCTCTTGCATCACAAGGCACCAGCTCACGCAGCCCTGTCTGGGAGGGAGTTTTCGGCCAGTCCACAAACGACTGTTGGAGCACCCTCCCTACTCACCGGGTCTGGCCTCCAAAGACCTTTTTCTTTACCTAAAGGTATTGAAAGGTAGACATTTTGATGACATCCAGGACATCAAGAGTAATAAGATGACAACTCTAATGGCCATTTCAGAAAGAGAGTTCCTAAACTGCTTTGACAGGTGGACTGGGTGCTGGCATCGGTGCATGGGTTCCCAAGGGGAGGACTTTGAAGGTGACCATGCAATGAGGAACGGAGCCCTGTTTCTAGGATGGTTCGCAAACCTCACTGTTGGACCTCGTATGTAAGATGGTAACATTTTGATGATAGCACATGATAGTTTTCCAAGTTCATCACACACAAAATCAAACATTTCAATGTTTTCAAAGAGCATTATTTCCTTCCTGACATGCCATCATGTCATTAACTGAACACATAGCCTGTGATTTCAGGATCACTTAAAAACAATTTATGCTAATATTGTTTCATCCTGCTTTAAAAAGTGCAGCTGCTCTGAGCAAAAAGTCTTTCTAAACCTTTTATGAATGAGACGCCCAACCATCATTAACATGCTATCCACATTTCCAAAATAACCTCCCCAGACCCAGAACCAACGTGACTTTAACATGCTACCCTTCACTGTTGCTGAAATTCCTCATTCTGAGTCAGTAAATCTACTACAAGGTTATTCACTCGTAGAAAGCAAACCTGGATTCAAAGCTGCCTGGCATGTGCATTTCAGAAAATAACTTGGTTTCTGACTCCCTGAATTCCAGCAGAAAGCCCTGAACTTGCTAAGGGGAGAGTCACCCTTCATAGATGTGAACGTCTTTTTAATTCTTTATTTTTTTTCTTAGAATGTATAATGACAAGAAGTATGTGAACATTGAACACATAAAGTATTATATTCAAATTCACTTTCCATTCAAAGTGCATAAATTTGTAATTCCAGATTTCTTAGGATAAATTTCAAAAAAAGAGATTTCAGCTGTTCACATCAAGTCAAAATTTCTCCTGGCACTATTAGAAGCAAATAAATCTGTAAGAATGAAAACCACACAGAAGAAAAAAATCCATTTCCCCTAACCCTATATTTTTCTGAGAATTGAAAATTGACAAAAACACACAGGCACTTAAGCCAAACGGGGGATGAGTGCTAAGCCACAACCCTGAGCCCCAACTGGGTGGGATAGAGAGGTCTGACCCAGCTGTGGCACGATATGTGGTCTCCCAGTGTGGACTTGCCCCAGAACGGACTTGCCAGGCCTAGGGTACCACTTGCAAATGGGGATCCCATCACATCCTCATGGGGTATGATGATCTAGTTTTAGAATTTGGAGAGTACTTTGCAAACGCTACAGGGCTAAGCAGATGTAAGATTATATCACTTTTTTGACAAACTCGCAAAACAGAGTTCAAACTTCCATCTCACGAGACTGGAAATACCTTCGTCGTTAAAGGCCTCCCGCTCAGGTAACTGCAAATTGTTCATCCTTGCTTTTCCTACTTAAAAAAAAAAGAAGAAATTAGCCTTCAAAGCCACCAAACATCCTATCTTAATTATACCAAGCCCTTAGTAGAAGTAGGCTGTCAGAAATGTTACTAATTAATTTCACGTCTCGAGAGAAATGACCACACAAGGGCTACTCAGTTGACTTATAACGTGCTTTTTAGCAAGTATGTCAACAAGGACTCTGGCCTCCTGGGTTCTGCTCAGGACAGCACTGATCTACTCTGACTTCAGAGATGTGGGAGGCTTCCTACTGGAGAAACCGGCTCAACACACACTTATGAAAGTGGGACACGCTCACAGGACAAAGGTGGGAGCAGGAAAGGTCTGGAGAGTGGGAGGAAGGGAAGGGTGCGAGCGAGGACGCCGCCCAGCAGAGGACGCACTGGGCCGGCAGGGGAGCCAGGCCAGGAGCACCAGGCCCCACGCTTGGCAGGCTTGGCAGGAAACTGGTGGAAAATCTTCCTGCGAGACAGACGCCAGAGCCTCTTCAACTCTGCACGGACGGCCGCTGCCTCTCCCAAAAGGGGGACTGAGGTCTCGCCCTGAAGGCTTCCCAGAGCTGCTGTGGCCAAAGGTCAGCCAGGGTGGATGGCGGATACAGGTACCGCCCTCAAAATGCAGTCGCCTTCCCCTCTTCAAAGACAACACCTCCCACCCATGAGACGAGCACGGGTGCGTGCAAAAGCAGCATGCCTGGGAGCCCAGCACTGTGGGAGGCCGGGGCGGGAGGATCGCCCGAGCCTGGGAGTTTGAGACTGGGCTGGGCAACACAGCAAGACCTAGCTCTACAAGCAATCAAAAAATTATCTGGGCATGGAGGTGTGCACCTATCATCCCAGCTACTTGGGAGGCTGAGACGGGAAGACCATGTGAGTCCAGGGGTTCAGGGCTGTGGTGGGCCATGTTCGTGCCACTGCCCTCCAGCCGGGACAACAGAGTGAGACCCTGACTCACAAAGAACCAAAGAAAGACCCAGAATAAAACCAGCAGCAGACGTGTCACCAAGAACACCCCAGAAAGAGGCGAGCGAGGCCTCCAGGACACCAGGGTCATCTCTGAAGGGAGTGGACACTGGCAACACGGGCAGTGTCTGGAGACATTCTTAGGGTCCCGCCCTCTGGGGGGAAGAGCCGAGACCCCGCGCCACAGGGTACACGACAACTGAGCATCCTGAAGAGAATTCCTCCGACTTGAAGAAATCTATCACGACAGCTAAAAAACGAGAGAGCGTGATCTTTTAATGCAGAGGAAACGCGAGCACCTAAACACCTGGGTGGACAACGAGCTAAGAGCAGCATAATCACCATTGTGCTGGAACTCCGGGTCGCGCAGAGAGCCCTGGATTCGACGGGCAGGGTGCCAGTAGGCCGGGGCACCCAGGGGGGAGGGTGACGGCCCAGGGGTGCCGACTCGATGCTCAGAACCCTCTGAAGCTGGAGGGGCCGCCCCAGCAGGTCTGTGGATGTCCACCTCCGTGTCCTCACGCAGAGGCAGGGGGTCGACCGTCTTCACGCCTGCCGCGGGGGATGTCAGCAGGGCTAGGGCCCGGCTTCCTTTCTGGATGACAAGGAGGACACATGTGTTCATTTCTGCATAAGCAGGCCGGACATCCACAGGTAAAAAGTACAACCACAATAGCAGGAGCTGGGGAACATGGGCAGCCCCATGTGGAGAGAGAGAACTCAGACTTGGCCACGGGGAACGAGATGCATGCACGGTCTGAGCGACTGAGAGAAAAGTGGCCAGCATGGGACAGGCACAACCGTCACAATTGACATGAGCGGTTTTCATTGCTACAGCCTTCTTCAGTAGTTGTAAAAAAAAGTTAACCCTGATTAAAAAGCAGAAAAAGGACATGAATGAGCAATTCTCATGCCTTACAAATTATAAACCGCAAACGTATCCGATCTCATTAATGATCAAATAATTATAAAATAAAGCACGGAGATACTGATTTTTTACTTACCAAACTGGAAAAATTAGTTTCAAAACAAACAATAACACCCAGGGCTGGCAAGGATGTGGACAAGCCAGCAACCAGACAGCTGCTGGATGGCCACCTTTCAGGTGGGCTGGCAGAACGTTGCCAAAGCCTTGACGTGGGGTGTTCTTTGACCACACCACAACACTCGGGGAGTCTTTACACAAAAGAATAATACTATCCACAAAAATGTAGCTAAAGGATTTCTTTACAGCATTTTTTCAAAATAGAATGATTAAGAAATAACAACAGGAATCTCAATAAAAACAGGTTTTGACAATAAGCATCTAGTTTTTTTAAAACTGTGGCATAACTACAGATTGTTTCCACAGAAAATCATATCATGTTTCCACTAAAAAAAAATACGTTATATTTAATGACATGGAAATGTACTTACAACACAGACTAAGTAAGAAAAAACTGATTATGAAATATCATCTATAGCATAACAAACAAATAACCAAATACGCTCGCGTGCGCGCGCGCACACACACACACACACACACACACACACATACACACGCCGCCATCCCTCCATGATGTAACAGTGATGCTCTGAACAGAAGCTGTGCCATCAGATACTCTCGTTTCTAGCTTGGCCAGTATCAGCCTTCCACAGTGACAACGTATCAGCATCTTAGAAGGCCCGGCAACTTGACTTCTGCAAAGAATGCAGACCCAGGAAACTTACACCCAGCTCCCACCTCCTGGCTCCTCCTCCAAGTCCGCGTTCACTGGCCACTCGAGAGTCCATCAAGGCAACATCAAGACCCTGCTCTCTAAATGCAGGAGCCGTTCTGCGACAGGAGAGCAGACTGCCTGTGCAGACATCCTGGGGCTGTGGTTCTGCCCAAAGGACATTTTAAACCAAGGCCCGGCGAAGTCGCAAGCCAGCCACCAGCTTCCCCTGGAAAATTCGACTGCCTGGCACAGTACGGACAACCCCAAGAGGAGCGGTTCTCTGAATGTTTTCCTCCAACCACATGTATGGCCCAGGATCCGGGGTCTTGTCGAGTGGCACTCACTCTTGCTGCAGACCTGAGCAGAGCGGCGACGCGCCCGCCTTCAGCACATGAGCTCCGGCCTCGCGTGAAGACTCGAGGTGCTTCTGAGCCCAAGGCCCACGGGGCCCACAGCCCACCGCCGCACACGGCCGTGCTCCACAGCAGGCTGCCGCGCAACACCACGGTCAGGTCCTGGCTGCTCCGCGGCACTGGCCCCTCCACGGGCATCCCGTGCCGCCAGAGGATGCCCGGGCTCCCTGAGGGCCTCCCTCCAACCTCGCCTCCTGCCTCTCGGCCGGGCCTGGCCTGCCCGGCTCTCAAGTCGGCAGGCACCTCTCACTCCGACACCGCAGCCGCTGCCCGCCCCCTGAACAACCTGTGCCCCAGATCTCGAGTCAGGTCTCAGCAAAGACGCTGTCTGTGTAGGGACCTGTCCAGCGACTCAGGCAAGCGCTGCCTCACCCAGTCCTAGGGGTCGTCTGCACTGCCACTCGGCCCCAGCATGCACTGCTCCCTGAGTCACTGGCTTTGGCGTGCTCTGCCCCCACGACGTGTCAGCCCACGATACAGGAGGCCTTCCTGACTCCCCAGCCCCAGACCCTGGAGACGGGCAGGCAGTAGGCGCCACTGAGCCTCAGGTTGGACGGCGTGAACCACACTCCTGACACTCCCCGGGTCCCTGCCAGTTTTCCTGCTCAGCGCACGGCACCTAGCGGTCTTGCAGGATGACCGGGCCTCAAAGTCCCCCAGGATCTCTCCTCCCATCCCAGGCAGGCCCTCTTCCACAATCCTCCCCTCGTCCGCCTTCCCACGACCACACCAGCACCGCCTCCTGCCTGCACATGCCCTGGAGGGGTGCCCACAGCCTCCACCTTCCAGCAGCCAGACTGAGCCTGCAAGCACAGCTTGCTCACCACACCCCAGATTTAAAGTGCCTTGACGGCGTGTCACCACTCAGAGAGGGTGAGGGACGTTCCCAGCACCGCTGTCCTCCTGCCACCCGCAGTGCTGGTCCCGCGTCCTGAAGCCCCACGCTCCCTCTCTCCCTGGGCTCCCAGCTGCACTTGTCCCCAGCCCAGCGGCGGGTCAGCGCTGCCCCTTCCTCTCCATCTCAGCTCGGTCACTTGGAAGGAGCTTTGGTGGCTTCCCAGACACCTCCCAACAGCCGAGACGCAGCCATCCCCCTCCACCGAGACCCCATCAGTTTCCACTTTATGTGTGCATGCATGTGGGCATGCACACGCACGAGGCCAGTGTCCTCAGCAGACACAGGTCCGGTGACACGTCCGTCTCACACCACAGGCACAGCTCCCAGGGTGGGTACATCTGCTGGACAGTGAAGTGAGCTATGCACACTCAGTCTGAACATAGCCTTGAGACCTGAAGACGCTCCGTGAGGATCCAGCTGACACGAGATTCCACATCGGTTCTGAGACACAGATGGCTCAGGACTTTAAGTCCATATGTAGTAACACTGTCATCTCTTATGAATGCTTTTATAAGCTCAAGGGGAAAACTGTGTGGACGAGGGGAACGACCCCTCTGCCCCCGGGAGCCAAGGGGGCCCAGAGGAGGGGAAGTGGCCACATCAGCTCCTGCTGCAGTCCCTGGTGGCAGAAAATTCATAGCAGCCACGTCCAGGCATGCCGTCTGACACCTGCAGCTCTTCGAGGAGTTCATCACTGAACGTCACAGCCACAAGCCTGGCACTGACACACTAGGGGACAGTACTGCTCAACTGAGGTCACTCTGTTCACTCCACAGTACACGAGGGCCACACATGTGAACCCAGCAACAAAGGAGGACCAGGGCCACCAAGCCAGATGCATGAGTACGGCTGCCTGGTCGCTCGCGGCCTCCGGCGCAGCCTGGACGCTGGGGAGGGCAGAGTGGTCCACAGACGCAGATGCCTGAGATGCGACGCTCACCAGCGCCGGCCAGACTCCTGGGGCCACACAGTCTCACTTGAGCACGGGAACTGTCTGGGTCTCCCGCCACTCTGGGGACGTCGACCAACAAGTCACCTCCATGAGCTGGGCCCAATGCCCGTCAGGGGTCTGCGGGTGGGTACCCTGACCCGTCCCCCAACCCCGGAATTCCCACTGTGAGCTCTAGGGCTCAGGCACAGCCAACAGCAAAGCCCGCTGGACCTCTGGATCCTCCGGCACCCCCAGCCGGCCCGCCTGCTGGGCCACGGCCCGTGGGAAGAGCCGATCCCCACCAGGGAGCCATCGCTCCACAGCCACCACCTCTGACCCCCCCAACCCAACTCCATGTCCCCAGTTCCCCGAGCTCCTCTGGCCCGACCCCGCCACCGGGGCCCCTCCTGCCCCAGCAACGCTGGCCATGCCAGTTCCCCTGGCCACCTCACTGCCTCCCTGGAGGCAGATCAAACCCCAGCCAGCTCGGCTCCCAGCCCTCCTGCACCTCTGCCGCACCCTGCCATGTCCGTTCCCTCCCAGCGTCCTCCCGACTCCGCTCACTGGGACTCTGCAGCGTCACCGAGAAGCAGCTGGGGCGCTTTCCAGTGGCACCGCCACCCTCGGGGACAGCAAGGACCGCCAGGGCCCAGCAGACCCTCTGCCCGCCCCCTGCTCAGAACGTCCCTCCCACAGCACACCCCCAACTCAGCTCCCGCCAACACACAAGCCCCCAGCACCTCGTGGCCTCCCGGGCTGGCTCCGCCTCCTCTCAGGAAGCCCTGAGGAACGTCCCTAGGCTGTCCCCAGTTCCTGCTGCCCTCTTCTCGGGAAGTCCCTCACCCAGGCTCTTGGCCACCTCCCACCACAACTACCCGGAATCAGGTTACCAGGGACCCTCACACACCACGTCTGGTCTTCAACTCCCGTGTCTCGCTGCCCGTCACGGCCCCACCCACCCACCCACTCGCCGCAGGAAGCCACACCCTCCTGCCCATCCCCACCTCTCTCCAACCCCCCAGTGTCCCGTCTGCCCCCGACACGCGCGTACCCTCCTGTCTGTCACCTCACTGGCCACCCCGCAGCCTGCTTTGCGGGCCAGTTCTCAACTCCCAGCCTCCCAACCTGGGGCTCAGGCCTGCCTCCACCTCCTCCCCTGTCGACACCCCATAAGCTCCCGTCTCAACACCTCATACCGCTGTCCCCCACACCATCGGGAGCCCGCCCCCCGCTCTCTAAGCCATCACCCCACCCAGCACGTCTCCTGTGGCCCAATGGCTTCTCTCATCAAATGTGTCCGAGGCAGAACCTTGACCCTGATGCTCCCTGACAGGCCCTGCCTCATCCACCTCCTGCCTGGGGGAGGACAACCCCATCCTCGCTCTTAGGCCCGGGCCTTGAAGGCCTTGAGTCGCCTGCCTCTCCATCCTACCCAGTCCTGTCCAGCACACGCCTCACGGAACTCCAGCAGTGGACTCCTCCCCCGGCACTCCCAGAAGGCGGCCAACTCCGCACTGGTTCACGCCCTGCACCTGCTCCCTCCGTCTACTCAACATAGAAGCCAGAATGACCTGGGAAACACTCGAGCTGATGGATGTCACTCCAGCCCTTCCGACAGCCTCCTGCTCTGTTCAGGAAAGAGCCCCGTGTCCTGCTGAGTCATACGAGCCCTCCATAGCATGGTGCGGACCCCACCTCTGACTCACATCCGTGCTCTCCCAGCCACACGGCCCTCCCAGCTCCTCCGAGGCAGAGGCCCGCTCACTCCTGGGACGCGCAGTGCTGCTGGCCCCCTGGAACGCCTTCCCACATGCCCTCAAGGGTGACCCTCACCCCCTCCAGATCCACCAAGGGCTGCTCTCCACAGGGACTTCCCAGTCACCTCCTGTTCAGCGCCGGGACTCGTCACCACTTGGCTCTGCACTTTGCCTGGTTACCCCGCCCGTTGCCTCTCCCCCACAAGACAGGATGTCTGAAGACGGCCATCACTGCCCTTGGTTGTCTCTGCAGCTGCCAGCACCTGCAGAAGCTGGACTTGGGTCCACGCCCGACTGGAAGCTGCTTTCCCACTCTCCCCGGGAGTCACTGCTGACCAAACATGAAAGTACATCAGCAGGAGTGCAGTGCTTCCAGCAGAAAACAGTCAAGCCCCTTGCCCTACCCAAAACGGGTAAGCGGTGGAACACACACGAGCGCTAAAATCCAAGCCTAAGGCGCGTTCACTCCACGTAACTGTAATCACAGCTCCAGAAGACGCCTTTCCCCTCAGGACACAGGCACTCACCTTGGTGCAGGCACTCTTTGACGGTTCTGGAAAATCCTGAGAGGATGCTCTCTTCCTCTGCTCTGGGGGTCTCACCTTGGACGGAGACACGAGCACGGCGCCCCCTGGAGAGAGGGGACAGGCTGAGCCAAGCACCGGAGCACGCGGGGGCAGGCAAGGGCCACGTGTGTGTGCTCACCCACGGCCGGCGTCGTGAGGTCATGGTGAGTTCTCTGGACCCCGCCGAGCTCCCTAAGCGTGGGGGTCGGGAGCCTGCCGCCTCGGCCCGAGGACAGGGAAGACGCCTCCGACCTGTGAGTCAGAGAATCTGTGAGTCCACAGGGTCTCTCTTCCGGAAGCCAGAGTGCTCACCATCACAGCGGCAGCACCACATGCAACTCAGGGGAGAAAGCCACAGGAGTCTCGAGGTCTTGCTCCACACACGTTTTTTGTTTGTTTGTTTGAGTTGGAGTCTCACTCTGTCTCCCAGACTGGAGTGC